GCAGCTGATTCTGCAAGAGATAATCGGTTTGACCACTAAGAACGCCAATGGGTTATCATCGGTTACTTGCAGCTCGAAATGCGTTTACTTAGCTGGATGCGTTGCGGTGGTCTACGATGTTGATTCGTGTACTCAGTCGCACCTTGTCGTATCTCACCGGAGGCCTAAGCCTTTGAGCTGTGTGGCGGTATCGCAGAATGGGCGGTTCGTAGCTGCTGGAGAAGTATGATAGTGTTCTGCATTTGCTATTTATGATAATTGGTTTTGAAATTAAGGTTTTTAAGGTAATGGATTTATATCAGAAGATATATAATTTCGTATCGTGATTGGTTTTTTCTGGTGTTTGATTTGATCTTCTCAGTCTCCGAATCTCTCTGCAGTCTTGATATGGGACTGTGAGACTTTGGGACTTGTTTCGGAGCTGAAAGGCCACCTTTATGGATCTCAGTGTCTCTCCTTCTCACCAAATGGTATGTTTTTCGTTCTTTTTATCGGTCCGACCGTCTCTAAGGGGCTTATCCATTCTGTTTTTTCTTAGTTATGCATTTGCTGTTTTATGTGCATTTCCTTACTTTGGTCTTTAGGGGAATATCTGGTGAGTGTTGGAGGATATATTTACCTTTGGGACTGGCGCAGAAGCATCTTGGTGGCGAAGGTCAAAGCGAGTTCTAAATTCTCTGACATTTCGTCTGTGACATTCTCATCCAATGGGAAATTCATTGTTACTTCCGGGAACAAGCATTTGAAGTTTTGGACAGTGAGTTCTTTTCAGAAGACACGTTCGAGTAAAGTAGGATCTCTGGCATTTCATGGAAAACCAACTGATAATGGTTTTCAAAAAGGAAACTCATTTGTATCAGTGATATCAGCAATCAGAGTGAACTCTAGTGGAAGTGACGAACGAGCTGAAGAAGTTATGTCAATATACACCCTCACGGATACAGGTATTCAGCTCAACACTGTGAATATGGGCTTTTGTACACTCATTCGATCAACATTACGATTAATAACTTTATTCTGTTGTGTAGGTGTTCTGATGCTTATTAGTAATGAGATGTTAATCAAGAAGTCTGTCGATCTCAAGGTACAATAATTTAGCTTAAATCTTTTCCGTTGTTGATATATGGCTAATAGTGGATCATACTAGCATCTAGATGCATAACAAGCATTTACTATAGTACTGAAGCATTGACTATATATTAATTTCTTATGAGCGTAGCCAATAAGTTTAGTTAACTTGTATGCGTTGACGCTAGTTGTAAAGACAGCAATATTTAGCTTGTGTACCTATTGTTTCATAACAATAATTTCTTTGAATGGCTTGCAATGAATTGTCAGGTTGAAAAATGTTTTGCTCTATCTGCATCCAGTAGATTGATAGCCTGCGCTTGCAGCAAGGGAGCGATCCAGCTATTTACTCCTGAAACTCTAGAATATGCCTGCATAATACACTTTTCAGATGCTAAAAAGAGTTGCACTGAAAACCATTCTCATTCAGCAGAATTCCAAAATATGGAATCTCATCCTGCTATCTTTCCGGACGCAGTTGCTTGCCAGTTTTCGACCACAGATAAGCTCGGTTAGTGTAGAAGAACCTCATAATAGCAGTATGATGCTTTTACCAGTCATACTTTTGACAAAAGGTGAAATTTTGGCTTCGCAGTTGTCATCTATGGGGATCGTAGTCTCTATGTCTGGGATGTGAACGATGTAAACAAGGTAATTGTAAACATATTTCAGTATTTTCCACAGAAAGTTAGTTGATTTCGAAGTTCTTTTGGTGCCAACGCCTTCTGAAGTCTCTATGTTGAAGCTTAGAGGACCAACTGCATATGGTGAAACTTTTCTTCCTTATTACAGCCTACTAGGTGCTCTATGATGATATCACATTCTGCCGGAATTTGGGATATAAAAAACCTCTCTTGTGGAAATATGCACAGTCCAACAGCTGCATGTGTAGCTAGAGGATGCTGTGAAGGGGTTTCCTTCACTACTTGTTCTGAAGATGGAACCATAAGGTTGTGGGATCTTGCTCTGCAACTGGATCCATTACTAGAAGCCAATGAAAGCAGCAATTCTTCAGAATCTGAAACTCAAGGGACTATGCATTTAGGTAATTATCACATATGCTCAGCGTCTGAAATATATTAGTGAAGATGTTGTAGTATTTACCGTTCATAGATTGTTTATCCAGTTCGATTAGTCATTTTCACTCATTATGTCTTTATAATGCAGCTAGTGCTGGAATTTTTGAACGTGATCTCGTTGAGACATGTGGTACCACATTCGGTTTCCGAGCACTGGCAGTAAGTGAAGATGGAAAGTACTTAGCAGCTGGTGACTGTGGAGGGAACCTTCATATATATGATCTACAAGAATCAGAATATACCTGCTTTACGGTAATATTAGTCACCGTTGTTTAATTGGCTATGTGTCTTCAGTAGTTGGTGTCCAGACATCCAATTGCAGGATGCTCATGATAACCATCTTGCAGGATGCTCATGAAGCAGACATTAAGTCTTTGAGCTTCAGCTTTCCTAAACCGAAAGATGTTGATTCTGAAAATGCCTCGAGTAGCGATTTCTTGCTTGCTTCTGTTGGAAAGGGCCGAACAATCCACATTTATGATGTCAAAAGGTGTAAAACAACAGCTTATTACGGTCTTTTGGTTTCCCTGGCAAGGCCATACGAACTTATATGATCATATTATCAGGAACTTTGATCCTGTTGGGAGTGTTTGTGGTTCAGCTGCTGTAACTTCTGTTAAATTCGCATGCAATGGCCGGAAAATTTTAACTTCTGGTGCAGATAGGTAATGTTCTATATGCTGTAAGATCAGGAAACTTGCATATTTATTTTAGAGGAATTTTATTGTTGACATTGTTGCAGGTTGCAGTCGTTTGATGTTGTCAGAAAAGCAAGTAGTGTGTGTCTTTCACCTTCTCATCCTCAAACTCTCTCTCATGGAACCATTTATGATATGGCTGTAGATCCAACATCAGGACTTGTTGTTACTGTGGGACAGGTATTGGCACCTTTCGATGAACATTCAGTCAATTAATCATACACTTCACATCTTATTGAGTAAGCGTCTGATGTCTTATTTCATGATTGCAGGATAAGAAGATAAACATATTCGATGTAGAAAGTGGAAAGCTAGTCAGATCATTTAAGCAACACAGAGACCATGGAGATCCCATAAAGGTGCATTGAACAAACAGTTTGATAAGGCTTCAACGTTGTTTGATGTTCTAGTGCTGACAATAAAATATCTTCCACAGGTCATTTTGGACCCAAGCTGCAGCTACTTAGTATGCACCTACTCTAATAGGACAATCTGCTTTTTGGACTTTGTCACCGGAGAGTTGGTTGCTCAGGCCACAGGACATGGTGAAGCTGTGACTGGTGTTATTTTCCTACCTGATTGCAAACATATCATTTCAGTAAGTTTCTGAATTCTAATTTTCTGTTATTACAGTTATAAGAACCTTGGCTTTTTGGATTAGCCAAGATCTATCTTGGTATGCCTCAAATGAAATTGAGCAACTGAGATCAAATTTCCTTTGGTGTTTATTAACAGGTTGCAGGAGATGGCTGTATATTTGTCTGGAAACTGCCTTTGAGAATGGTTACTCGTATGATACGGGCAGTAAATGAAAATGGCAGATTAGCGCCTGAAACTGTGGCTCAAGCCACAAAGTTTATGCAAATTGTAGTTGATTTAGAGGAAGTAAATCCAAATGATGCATCCTGTTCTGCAAAATGTAAGCCGGTAGAAGAAAACACATATCAGATGCAGCAACGCTCACCATGGACATCTTCATTTAAGTTCAGCGTTTCTCGGCTTCCTAAGTGGGCTCAGGCTAAAGTGGAAACATCTGGTATTGCTACCAGTTTTCAGGATTCCATTTCAAACGAGGTACAAACCCAAAAAGCTGTCTGCTTCTGATTAATATGGAACCAAGATAGAGTTTATCTTTAGAATTTTTTCGTTTTATTGCCTCGACAGCAGAAACATGAAGATAAAAGTCTGGCGAATACTGTTGACAATGCTGAAGAATGCTCTTCTGTGAATCTTGAATGCCAAACTCCCATGCAAGGTTCAAGAACCGAAAAGTCACGCCTTGGAAGCCTTTCCAAAAGCTCCAGTGATACTGACACTTCAGTACTTCAAGGAGATGCTCCTATGTAAGAAGCTCTAGCTTGTTTCTGGTCATTACTGCATCATTCTTCTGTCTATCTATTTCCCAGCTTTTATGAGAGCCATGTTCATTGTTTTTATTTCGGTTCTCAACAGCCATATGAAGGAGAGCACGCGCTGGAACACTATCTACAACGTGTGTTTGGATCTTCTATATTCTCCAAACTTGCAAACATCTTTCATTAAACAACAGAAACCAGAAGATTCCTGCACCAAACGTTCTACTGCGCAGGGAGAGATCGTTAAGCAGTTTGATAACAGTTTGTCGATGATAAACGAGGTGAGAGCCCTCTTCATTATTCCTTGAACATGTTTTCATTATCAAGAGAAATCTTTATGACCAAAAATGTTTACTCTATCCATAGGTGGAGGCCGAAAAGTCAGTGCAGCAAAGAAGATATTCTTCCCAATTTGTTCTAAGAAGGGACTACATCAGCGGAACCAAACAATTTCTGCGTACGCCTTCCCAGAAATCAGGGTACAATACTTTGAGATCGATCCAAGAGCACCTCCCTCTTGATATAGTGAATGATCAATCTTCGCAGAGAACAGAAGAACATCCTCAACAGGTTTCCACCAAATCATACATTTGAT